AAGGCAAACAGAAGCCTGGGACCCACAAAACAATCGCAAATACTGGGATTTTCTCATGGCAACACAGGCTGGCCCTAACCATAACTTAACCCCAGAAGAAGCCGCCTCTGCTAATCTGTTCTCCTGCCGTATTCCCAGGGCTGGAGTTTAAGATACATTCAAATACTTCATTGTCTCAAAGGTGGGAAATTGATGTTAAATATTGCAGGGCTGAGAAATACAATCTTGCAGGCCCTGTCTCTACAGACCCGTCCTGGGACCTAGAAATAAAACACTGCCTGTTAACTTCTTGGCAAACTCAATGATTAAAAAAGAAAATCAGACAGATTTTCTTCCAAATTAACACAAGGGGGGGGGAAGATGTTCTGCAGCAGTGTATCAGAGCAACATTTCCAAAAGATCAGAACTTTTACAGGGTGTCTAATGCCCTCCAAGGATAGCTTACAGATACTGCATCCTGCAGATGTTTGACATTGCCCTCTCCCCTACCCACGTGCCCCCTCCTCTCAGCCCCTCAAAGATTCTTTAAGGCTGTTGACTGTCCCGAGGGATGATACAGCAGAGCCAGAGAAGACCCCAAGTCTGGGTTTGAATCCTACCACCAACACTCATTATCTAAATGACAATGAGAAAAGTACTGAATCCCTCGGACCCTCAGTTTTCACATCTGTAAGGTGAGGATAATAATACTGCAGTACTGACTGTGAGGACCATTATCAAATGCAATATGTAGGTGTCAATTATTATCATGGGATAGACATAGACGCTGAACCTGTTAGTTCACTGGTATAGGGCACTCCCAGAGGAGGGAACTCCCTCTACCAGTGCAGGTGGACACCTTCTCTGCAACTTGATTTTAATAACAATAATAACAGTTAACAATTATATAACACTTAACATGTGACAGGCACTGTGCTAAGTGCTTTACAAATATGATCTCATTTTATCCTCACAACAGCTCTGGAAGTGCTCCCTTTTACAGAAGAGGAAACTGAGACAAGCAGGTTAAACGACTTGCCCAGGGTCACAGCTGGTAAGTGTCTGAAGTCACATTTGAACTCAGGTCTTTCTGACTTCGTGCCTGGGTGCTCTGTGCACTATGGCGCCCCCTAGTGGCTCAATTTTTAGAGACCTGCTTAGAGGCCCTAAATTTGCCCAGACTCACAGTGTTCAAAGGGAGGACTTGAACACAAGTTTTCCTAGCTTCAAGACCAGTTTTCAATCTATTACCCCGCGTCACTTCTCTGTGAGGTGTTTCTCTCTCTCCCTCCCTCTCTCTCTCTCTCTCTCTCTCTCTCTCTCTCTAAAACAAAACCCAAACCATCCAGGATAATGGATGATGGGATAAAAGGAGTCAGAAGGGGGATAAAATGGGGGATAACCAATAGATAGCCCACATATTACAATAGTACCCCTGAAATATTACAGGAATCAGGAGAAGGAAAACCTCTAGCACATTGGGTGGAGACAGACAAGAAATACTCAAAATGAGAAGGCATGGCAGAATTTCAAGGCACACTGGGAAAGGGAGTATTTGACAGTATTGAGATCACTGATAAATTGAGGTATTGAAATATACATAGCTTCTGAGGGATCTCATAAGCCATGGACAGTCTAATCCTGCCCATTTTACAGAAAAAAAACTGAGGCTCAGGAAGGTTAAATAACATGCACAGGATCACCAAGGTAGTAAGAGACAGGGGTAGAATTTGAACCCAGCTCCTCCAACTCCAGAGTTAATACTCTTTTCACTGGGCTACTCTGCCTTCTCATATTAATATCTATACTGGAAAGCATGAATATCCATTAATCAATAAACATTTACAAAGTGTTTACTCTGTGCCAGGCACTGTACTAAGCACTGGGAATACAAAAAGAGGCAAAAGACAGTCCCTGCCCTCAAGGAGCTTACAATCTAAAATGGGAGAGACAAGAAGCAAACAGATATGTACAAACTATATACAGGATAAACAGGAAATAATTAAAAGAAGGAAAGCACTAGAATTAAGAGGGTCTAAACCCTCTTAAAGGGTAGAAGAGGGGATTTTAATTGAGACCTGAAGGAAGTCAAGGAAGGCAGTAGGTGGAGATGAAGAAGAAGCACGTTCCAGGCATGGAGGACAGTCAGAGAAAATGTCTGCAGCTGAGCGATGGAGCATCTTGTTCTAGGGCCAGGCAGGAGGCCAGTGCCACTGGAATGATGAGTATGTGTTAGGGAGGAAGGTGTAAGAAGACTGAAAAAACAGGAGGGGGTCAGGGTATGAAGGGCTTTGAATGCCAGAGATGATTTTGTATCAGATCCTAGAGAAATAGGTAGATACCTGGGCCAATGGACTCTTGAATTAGGCTGAGGGGACCCAATCCAATACTTCTTGGTTACTTTTGTCTGTAGAATCCATGAAAACCAAAGGAGAGATCACATTGGATTGGAGTCTGTTTGTTCTCCTGTACGAGGGAATTTAGGAGACAGGGAGGCCCAACAAGGGTCCCTGAGACATCTCTCTGTAGGAGGGCTGGGTTTAGATTCTAATGTAAGATAGAGGCGATCTCAGACAGATACAGAATTGTGTACTTCCAAATAATCCTAGTATATAGAAAACCAACCTTGAACCTGACCACTATCTACTCAATTAGGAGAAGAGTCAAGGGCTTAATGCACCAATGTTATCATTTCCTAAGCAAGAGACAGTGGTTTGATGCTATAAAGACCCAAATCACCACCACAAACCAGAAGCTAAAAAGTCGCAACCCTATTGGCTCCCGGGAATCCTGGCCCTGGTGCCAGCCAGGCAGCTGGCCCTATCTGTTGGTGCCAAGATGGCACCACTGAGCAAGATCATAGAAAGAAAGGGGGGAAAGGCAGGTCCTTTAACAGCTGACCATGCCCAGAAAACTTCCTGTCCCTTCCCCAGGGGCAGAAAGATCTGCCTGAGCCCCATCACCTGTCACACAGCCCTACCAGGGCCCACAAAGCAATCCAGATACATCTACATGTCTCTTTATTTCTCAAAAGTGAGTTTCTCAACTTAGGAAAAAATCAAATATCACCTCCCTCAAGTTAGTGCCTCTTTCTATAAGGAAGAAGAATGGCTCTATCTCTTCCATGCGTATATTCCTCAAAGTGGTTGAAAGGCAGATTTGTCAACTTTCCCCTGGAATCCACAAGGAAAAGTCATTTAGGTACCCTCAGAGCCTCGCTGGCCTGCCATTGCTGAACCCAGCCCAGTGCGCACAGAGAACAGCTGGAATAGCCCAGCATCCTCCAAAGCTCCTGTCCTCCCCAGCCCCCTCTAAGAAGGCAGCAACCCAGCAGTGCTCTGAGTCACCACTGGTCATTGGGGCCTGGGGAACGTGGGAATGAGGATGATTCCCAAAGGAAGGGGGAGTGGGTGGGTGAAAAACCACCACGTGCTTGGCTCTGTGCTAACCCAAAGAGGAGTCTGAGTAACTCCCATCAGACCACAAGTTTATACACACACACACACACACACACACACACACACACACACACACACACAGCCTTCTCTCCTTCCCAGAGGGTGCTGACTGGCCCTGGCCTTCCCAAGATCTGACGATGGTAAAGGTGATGCCAGCTAGACCACAGGAAGGTACACTTTGAGACAGCATCTCTTTAGCCTCTGCCTTTGATCTGAATCTACCAATGCAAAACAGCCCATTCTCTGCAACTTGTAGGCTTGGGGGTTCTAGGCTCTAGAGCAGAGGTATTAAACTCAAATAAAGACATCCTAAGGATCTCTGCAGCCAGACATCAACCTAGTAAACTGAATATTAACATTATCTGTGTTCCATTGAATTTTAATTTCTTTTGTTAAATGTTTCCCAATTACATTTTAATCTGGTTCTGGAGCACTGGGTTTCCTGTTAGACCCCTCTGGTCTAGAACATTCAGAGACTAAGTAATTTGCCCCCTGTCACACAGTATAAGTCAGAGGCACCACGGGCACTCGGGCCTTCTTCCTAGCTGTGAGGACAGCTCCCTAATCACTTTGCCAAGCTGTCTCTAACATCTAGGGATAGGAAAATTCTCCTCGATAGGAGCAAAAGACAAGGTTTAAGGGTGGTGGTAAGGGTCAAGGACGGGGAAGGGAAAGCAAGGGTCCTCCCAGGTGTCTCGGCCACAGATTTGACCCCGCTATTGGAGCAGGACAGACGCTTCACAGCTGGGACTTATCTACTCAGCTCCACAAACCCAGAGAAGCAAGCAGCCGGGCCAGGTCACTGACCCTTCCTAACTTCCGAGAAGGAGGGAGACAGAGAGAGAGAGCGAGAGAGAGCGAGCGAGAGAGAGAGAGAGAGAGAGAGAGAGAGAGAGAGAGAGAGAGAGAG